GGAGGTTGCGGTGAGCCGAGATCGCGCCATTGCACTCCAGCCTGGGTAACATGAGTGAAACTCCGTCCCAAAAAAAAAAAACACAGGTCACAATTGTAAACTATCAAGAAAGGGTATCCTGGTAACTTCATAGTGTGCATGAAGGAATAGGGAGGAAAATCCTAATTATGTGTTTTGAAAAACCCAATTACTTTTCTAAGGTTGTTGCTCTTTTGAGTTGTGCAACAAAGGCCTACAGGGAAGGGCTTCTCTAAATGCAGATTGGGTCTTTGCTTTTCTTCTTAAGGGTAGAGCCACACAAAAGACAAAAGTGCTAACAATGTCAGATGTTCACAAAACCTTGAATCCTGGTAAATATCTTATAAATCAGAAGTGAAATAGCCTCCATTCAGTCACATAGAGATCAAGTAGGAAATACAAGAAGCTTGACCTTTACAGTGTACTTTGAAAAGGTTCCCTTGGTTGCAGTTTTTAAAAAACAAACTTGTATGCCTTTACATTCCCCATTATTCTCTCACTCTGAACCTCCGCAATGAATATCCTGTATTTATTTCCATTAAAAATTCAGACAGAAGTCACAGGCAGCCTTTCGATAAAGCCACTAAACAAACCACACCAGGTCTTTAAGACACCAAACACTACTCTGATGTTAGGGTGGTGCTGTTTCTCTGAATTTTAATTTATAATGCAACTAGAATCACTGAGGGAATTTTAACAGGAAGTGGTAACCAGCAGTGCCTCAGGTATCCAGGTGTCTGACAAGCCCTCAAGCAAGCGCTGTGCTTTTCATAAGTTCAAAATATTGACAACAAAAAAGGAAAAAGTCTGCTAAAACAAAGTCAGGTATTTTATATGACAACTATGTAAAACAGTGTTTTAGACAAGGCATTCGTTTTTGCTTTATAAAGATTAAGCTATATGGTGTGTCCAAAAATAAATTACCACTGATAACTAAAATAAGACTATGTCGGCCGGGCACAGTGGCTCACACCTGTAATCCTAGCACTTTGGGAGGCCAAGACAGGCAGATTAGTGGAGGTCAGGAGTTTCAGACTAGACTAGCCAACATGACCAAATCTCGTCTATACTAAAAACACAAAAATAAGCTGGGCATGGTGGTGCATGCCTGTAATCCCAGCTACTTGGGAGGCTGAGGCAGGAGAATTGCTTAACCAGAGAGGGAGAGGTTGCGGTGAGCTGAGATCGAATCACTGCACTCCAGCCTGGGCAACAGAGCAAGACTCTATTTAAAAAAAAAAAAAAAAAAAAAAGACTATGTCAATGATGTTCCAATGCAAAATTTCCCATTGTCCAAAATTATCTGCCTCCTCGTGGCATTCTGTCAGAATACCATATAGTTTTCCCCAAGCCCCAAGACAGGGTGGTCAAAGGTGAATAGAAAATTCCAGGAAACAGTTCCACATGACTAACAAAAAGGAAACTGTTGAAACAGATACAGAAGCTAGAGGCCAAGAAGACCCTGAAAAGCAGAGTATGGGTCAAGCTAGCTAAGACCAAGTGGACCCAACATGGCACTGGATTTGATCTAAGTTCCACCTAGGACTTCATTATACACTCATTAACATACTAAATCACACCCACCAATGCCAAGACAGTTTCGGGAGCACTCACATTTGGTGACAATATGGGTGGAACTAAAGTTGAGAAATCTTTACCTTCTCCCAGATATATTCATTAGTATTCCACACCTTGATTAAGGAAACCCATAAAGACAGAAGCCAAACCCTCTCTCAAGTATGCCCGCACTCTCCTTTCTTGAGTGTGTACTTTTCACTTTGCAATAAATCATAGGTTTCACTAGTTTCCGACTCATCCTTGAAATCCTACTGAAGACACTGTCAAAAGCCTGACCATCAATTAGAGTCGAGGTCCCACTGGCATTTGGGAACCTCTCCCAGCCCACTGGTATCAGCCCAAAGGAAAAAATATTAAGTACCTAGTACTGTCATTACTTCAAGTTTTCATATTGCTACCCAAGTTATAAGAGGCACTTTTCTCCATGTGATACACGCTGTAGGTCAAAACCCAAGACCTAAGTCATCAGGAAGAAAAACGAATTTATTAGTTTTGCCTTTCCCATTCAATGAAGACAAATTTCAGCCTCAGGGAAGCATACGGTTTTTTCTGTCTTCTTTTTTTAGGCTTCACCTCCCACAGGGCCTTGTAAGGATTCTGAGAAAAGAATTTTGTGTCTGTAATATTTTATAAAACCAGGCTACTTGATAGAGGGCCACTATAAAAAAGATCCATTTCCACAGAGTATATATCTTAGGACATGAAATACTTTGTCGTGGCTTTTTTTAAAAATAAAGATTTTCATCAAGTTTGGGGAAATTTCTTTAAGGTATTAATGATGTAGAAAATGTTTTCGGATATTTTAGTGCTTCTTTTAATTGCTTTATGGTATAAAAATCTCATAAAATGCAAACATCATATTTTTAAAATTTTTTAATTAAAAAATTATAATCAACATATCTAAATAACTGTATGCATGTGCATGCACTCACACATAAATACACACAAAGTTGACAACTGTATCAACTCTACAGAACAAGAAATTTTTATCTGCAAGACAATCAGCAAATGAATTAGCAGACAGCAAACAAAAAAAGGCATATAATCCTAAAGCAGTATCTACAAATTAAAAGGTTGTTGCAACTCTGTAGTAGACTTATTTCTAGTCTCATCTTCAAGATTACTAACATAGCATAGTAACACTAGAAGGAGAAAGGAAATTGAAATTGAAATATGCAAACAGGGTCAGGGGCGGTGGCTCACGCCTGTAATCCCAGCACTTTGGGAGGCTGAGGCGGGAGGGTCAGGAGGTCAGCAGTTTGAGGTCATGGTGGCTAACAGGGTGAAACCCCATCTCTATTAAAAATACAAGAAATTAGCTGGGCATGGTGGCGGATGCCTGTAGTCCCAGCTACTTAGGAGGGTGAGGCAGGAGAATCACTAGAATCCAGGAGGTAGAGGTTGCAGTGAGCCAAAATCGCGCAACAGAGTGAGACACAGTCTCAAAAATAAATAAATAAATATGCAAATAAAAGATGAAATAATAAGCCACTTTACCTTCACCACCTCAGTTTACTTTTCAACTCATTAATTCAGTAGACATTTGGAATGAGTACCAATGTTTCGGATAGAAAAGGGCTCTAAAATTCTTTCCATTCAAATATTCTATGATCACCATTTCCTAATATCACATGATTAATGAGAATCACACTACTAAACTTCCAAAAAACAAAACCAGTGTTTACAAATACTTATGAAGTACACTGAGTAACTGAGCAGGTATAAGAGAAATTAAAAATCCAGCTTTCAGTTGCCACTGGAAGCCTAGTACCTGCATTAAAAAAATTTTTGAGAAAGACTTCTTGACGTTAATTTTTGCTTCAGGCATGGAAATTAACAGCAACTGAATCCTAAACGAATGAGTCGAGGAAAACACTGTCACTTTATGCAAAGCTGGCAAATTCAGTGTTCTCTATAGATGTCAAATATTTTTAAACAAAATTCAATCTCCTGGACTGTCAGTTTAGCAACAGGTTAAAATAGTGTTAAGGAGAAGATGGCAGCACATTTAAACTTTATCTTTACTGAGAAAACTGGACAATTTAAAGCACTAGCAATATGGCGGTTAATCTTCAAATACGAGGTACAAGGCATTTAATAATACTGTTACAATGACTGTCTCATCAAACCATCAGTAGGGCTTGCAAGACTTTCCCAGTACAATGTTAGAAATGCTTATGTTTACTTAGTCCAATTAACTAGCCTCCTCTAGTACAGAGCTCATTTTTCCAGAAATTTTTTTCCCAACATGATACCCCTACATTTTAATTGAACTGTTCCATAGAAAGGCATTTCTTTTGTTCGCTCTTGTTTGCATAGGTTAATACAGGCTATAATGTTGTCTAAACTCATCACCAACTCTTTCTACATCTAGTTTTCCCCTTAATGTCTTTATTTCAAAGTTTTTGATGCAGTCCATCTTTTCATCAAAATAAGTTTTATGTTTTCCTTATGCCAATGATGAATTACAGAGTTTATCTGCTATACCAGCTAAAAAGAGAACTCTATTTTTAGGGCAGATGCAAACCAGAAGTAACTGATGAGGGGTCTCTCTATGACGTGAATTAGTAAACTATTAGCCTATGAAGGTCTATTCAGAAACATCTGTGCTTTAAATGTTTGATGAAAGTGCAGCTAAACTTCGAAATAGCCTTAAGTCATTGACAGCTCAAAATTCAATTATCTGAAAATAATATTCCTACAAGATTGTAGAAGCTTACATTCATCTTCATAATTTTCAAGTATCTCTGGGATGAGTGTCACCTCTACACTGAAAACTTGGCTTGATATATTAGAAAAAATCAAAAGAGGCTAACATATCTGTTTGTTTCATATACCCTCACCTTCTTGAACATGAACAAATTCAAAATTCAGCAGCAGCCATTGGTTCAATACTCAGAAATTTAGAGAATTTTGCTAACACATCTCAAATGATCACGAAGGAAAAAAGTGTATTTGAAATAACAAACTTTTACATTTATTTAGTTTCCTGAAGAAACTTATAAAACCATATTTTATGGAGGTAAACCTTTATCCCTCTTTTCAAAAAAAAAAAAAAGTGATCTTTTGTAATGGCTCTTCTTTGTGAGTCAAAGAGTTAAAACCATATCTTTTATTCCCAACCGAGTGTCAGCACCACTCAGAGGTACCATGTTTTATTTAAAACATACTCTTACTCAGTAACCACTTTGTTCTAATTGGCAAGGCAAAGCCAGGTCCCTAAAGCACACAGCTCGTTACATTCAGTTTGGATTACAAAAACACAGGATGAAACAAACTGCATCGAAATGTACAAATTAACAGCTCAGGAGTATAGGACAGGGAGTTGGAATTAGATTGTAATATGGAACAAAATCCACAGGGAGGCTAGGGAACAAATCACTAGTGTCTCTATAAACTATACAAGGTTTCCAAATGAGCAAATACACAAAGCAGATAGGCTTTTCCATAACTCAATCATACTGATAAATATGGATACAAAAAAAAAAAACCAGGAATTTTTTCCATACTATTATGCACACATGTATGAGAGAACAGGAATACCAACTGGAAGCTTTAACAAATGAAATCTGCAGGTTGCACAGTCTAAATATGAAATTCATCTTTGCTTTCACATTGACAATGTGCAAACAGCCTTGCAATTAAATCACACTTCCAAACATTTTCAAAAAAATCTTTTGAGAAGCTAAACAGAGGAGGCTAAATTAGAAATGGTGCTTCACTATGCAGTGCAGAGAGCAAGGTTAATGAGCTAAAAGTCATATGAATGATAACAAGAAAGATGTTAAGAAATGAAGATCTCACTACCAAAACAGAAAATGTGTTAGACAAAAACACTCCCCCCAACCATGCATGCACACCTTTTCCTAAATTAGCTACTCTGTGAAGCTTTCAGCACTGTTTCTCTGATTATGACTGGGGATGATCTAGAGGCAAACTACAACTGAGCTAAAAGAAAAGAGCACAGAAAAAGCAAATACTCTTATACACAAATGCAAAACAATGTTACTGCTCCATCCTCATGAAACAATCCCATCTAATCTATTTAGCCTTGGTTTTTACAGTACAATGTCATCTAAGTCTACTACTTTCATTCCTAATAACATCAAACAGTGGAGAAGGTTAGATCAAGTCTAAACTTCCATAGATCAAATCTCAGTTCTTCAAAATTTATTTAATCTTGGGAACATGAGTTAACCCACTTGAGTTGAAGTTTCCTGATCTGTAAAATGGAGCTACAAAATCACCAACATTGTGAGAATCAAATGAGATAACACTGTATTTAAGGACTTCATAACATAAAATGGCTGCAGCAATCTTAGTTACAACTGTGATTACTTCATTTTAGGATTTTAAAATACATATATATATAATTGACCACAACTTTCCTCTTTTTTCACAAAAATTAATTTTTTTTACTATTACAAAAGTTTATTTAACAGAAAGTCTTATGTGAAAATGTACATGACCTAATTTTTACATCATAGTAAAAAAGTCCCTACAGAGAGAGGACATGGGTTTCTCTGTTGAACAGCCACTATTTATACTCATTCCAAGGCTTCTAACATGATGATACTATTTCCTCGTATTACCACCATTCCAATATTGTTCTGTTGCCCACCAGTCGCCATCTCCACACATTCATCTATTACAAGATTCATAAAGGGATCAAATCCCAGCAATATTCCTTGGACATGTCTGCCACCATTTAATTTCAATGGTAACTTCTTGTCCATAAATATTTTTTACTTAAGAAGGTGAGCTTCGCTCATGATGGCTACTCCGTGGGCTCACAGATGACTTGGAATGGAATGCCCACAGAAACTAATTCTTGTTCTGCTACTAAAGTATCTGTCTTTTGGCATTCCCCATTTAAGATTATATATTTTTCTTTTTCTTCAAACCAGAAGTCTTAAGATATTTTTTCTTCTCTCTCCCCAATATTTACTCTAAAAGTAAATTAAGAAATGTAGAACGACCTTTGATCATAGTTAAGATTGTCGCTCACTCTTTCTTGCTCCTGCTTTGGCCAAGTAATGTGCAAGTTCTCGCTTGGCCTTCTGCCATCACTGTAAACTTCCAGAGACCTCCCCAGAAGCAGATGCCAGTACTATGCTTCCTGTACAGCCTGCAGAACTGCGAGCCAATTAAACCTCTTTTCTTTATAAGTTAAAAAAAAAAAAAAAAAAAAAAAAAAAAGTTAAGTCTGTTAACATACAGTTAAATCTACTTTACACTGCAAGAACCAGCTAAGTGCTGAGGCTTTTAAATGGTATAAAACTTTATAGCATGAAAGACTATATTTTAGTCATACATTAATGGCCCAAAAATAATGTCCAATCTCTGTACTCATCATCCCTACTGTGGACTAAAAATCAAGTACAAAGGGGTTATATCCAGGAAAGATATCAAAGAGCAACCTCATACAATCTTCTAATTCACACACAAAGGAAATAGCCAGAACAAGAATTATGCTGAGTATCTGTAACGTGGTGGAGCCAAAGCCTCTGAGGCACAAAACAGTCTTGTGCTTATTATCTGAGTCTATCTGATAGTTATCCACATTCCTGACAGGTCTAAAAGGGAGTCCATAAACCAAAGCCTGGTCATTCTGATACAGTGGAGTCCATTAGCCTACTGAGAACATGAAAAATAGGGAATATTAGCAATTAACTCTCCCCACCCCACCCCCGCCCCAGATGGAGTCTTGCTCTGTTGCCCAGGCTGAAGTGCAGTGGTGTGATCGCAGCTCACTGCAACCTCCGCCCCCCAGGTTTAAGTGATTCTCCCGCCTCAGCCTCCAGAGTAGCTGACATTACCACACCCAGCTAATTTTTTTATTTTTAGTAAATGAAGTTTTACCATGTTGGCTAGGCTGGTCTCGAACTCCTTACATGGTGATTCGCCCGCCTCGGCCTCCCAAAGTGCTGGGATTACAGGTATAAGTCACTGTGCCTGGCCTTAATTCTTACACTACTTTTCACGTCACAGAGGGTCATCTAATTACATGAAAAGAGGCCAACTGTATATCCAACCCAGACAGTTCTCTGAACTAGAAGTCTCCAAGTTTCTTTGATAAAGGTGTACCATCAGAATAAAATTTTAGTGCACGTCTCTTTCATGTCAGTTTTAAAAGTAGTTACATATTCCTATAATGGACTGAATAATGCATCCTGTTTGTGCCCCCACCTCCCAAAATATGTCCACCTAGAATCTGTGAATGAGATATTTTTTTTTTGGGGGGGGGAAGCTTCTGCAGATGTAACTAAGGATTACTAGATGAGATAATCCAGGATAAGAGTAAGCCAATGACACTTGTCCTTAGAGGAGACAGAAGAGGGAAAGACAGAGATTCACAGGGGAGATGGCCATGTGAAGATGAAGGCAGAGACTAGAGTGATATGCTACAAGTAAAGGAATGCCAAGAACTACTGACAAGCCAGAAACAAGCATCAGCATGGAACAAATTCTCCCTCAAACGTTCTAGAACAGACCAACCCTGCCATTACCTTGGTTTCAGACTTCTGGCCTCCAGAACTGTGAGAGAACAAACTTCAGTTGTTTTAAACCATCAAGTATATAGCAATTTTGTGGCAACCCTAGGAAACTGACATAGATATCAATGAGATTATGTATACAGGATAAAAATAAACATAGTAGGAATTCTAACATTTTCTCTCTTTGCCACAATGGATAATCCTGTATACCACGAAGAGACCACAGCTTTAGACCAACATGTGGGAAGAAATAAAGCCAAGTGACAGGCTAAACTACCTTAAAAGACCTAGTAACTACTAAATTACCTATAACACTTTGCCTATAATACTCTAACAGATGATCACAATTTTTCCACTTGAGGCCTAAAAGAAGTCACCTCTCAGCTATTTCACAGCACTGAGCACTTTGTTTCCCATTAGAAATGCAAAATTATTTCTGATATAATTTCCATAACATCATCATCATCTTCAACATACTGCTTCATCTATCTTGACTAGCATAATAATTAACCACACAATTTAAGAATGCTTATTAGTAAGCATCACACTGCTATAGACTAAGAGATCAGAAAAGGCTGCCATAGTCCAGCATTACTAATCCATTAAGGACCTGCTGCCCGAGTCTTGCTTGCATTTGATAGTAAAGGGGGCTACACCACAAAGAATAGTTTAAACATTCTTTTAACATATTCAAGCAAATGCTAGAAAAAAGAGACAGAGGAAAAAAAACAGGGTTGCAACTGTGGAATAAAAGTGGCAGTTGAAAACAAATGTCCATCTACAGGGGACTAGATAAATTAGGGCATATAATAATGAAGGTGACCAATGAATACATCAAACTGATACACTTAGAAGAGTACCAGTTTGGTACAGAGAAAGTGCTATTAATATTTTCACTGGCACAAAATGCATAAACTGAGATTGTTCTAGGTAAATCTAGACATTAGTTATAATGGAATATTATAGTTAAAATGAACAAGAGCAACATGCCAACGTTATTAGTTTCTAAAAACATTATTTATAAGAATACAAGTTGTAGACTGACTAGCACAAAATACCACGTAAACATTTTAAAAACAGAATAATAACAATATTTCTATAAATGCCCATTCATAATAAAAAGTATAAATACAAGGATAAGAAGTTGAGTGTTTGTCTCCGAGACGGGAAGATGATGACAGAAGTAAAAGAAAACTATGACATTTCAGTACCCTTTTTAATGTGATAAGGAAAAAGGCAAAACATTAGCATTTGTCACTTCTGTGTGGGTTTGTGGATATTCTGAATTTCAGACACCCAACTATTCAACAGATACCTACCAAAAGACACATAATGGTTAAGGAGAGCCTGATGAGTTGAACTGTCCCCTTTTAACAAACATATGACCAAAATGTGTGTGTAACACTTGAGAAATCCCTCTTGGGCTTTTGGCTTTGAAGAAATCAAAGAGTATACAATAGCAATCAAGTCAAAAAGATTACAAAAGCAGGAATACTCTATTCAAACACTTTGTCCTAAGAGCAGCAGCTGCTTTCTTTTGGGGAAAGGTGAATTTAAAAAATCAAGGTATGACAAGCTTACAAATTCTCCACTATCCTGCCAAATTTTTTGCATTGGAATCGGTAATTTGTTTCTAAATTATTTGTGCACAGTTCCTACATTTCTAAAATAAAACACATATAAGAAGAGCTTAAAATCTGTCAGACTCAGTCTATTCCTCTTATTGTAGGGCCTCAAAATTCGGCTGTAACCTACAACTCTTCACTTTCGAAAGTGACTAGAATCGGATCACTTTTACTCTGGCATTCTAACAGGAGATGGAAGCAGGAAAGAGATTAGTGTGTAACTCCAACCACTAAGTTGCAAGTTCATAGGAAATATTTTAATTTACTTGGTATGAAATGAGAATTTGTTATTCTCTTCTGGGAACTATAATGAAACTCAAGTCGCTCTCAAGAAAAACATTAGCATTTTGGTTTACCTACCATTTTACCCTGGCATTCTTATGCCTCTCACCTTGGATGTCAACATTTAGATACCCTATGCTTCAGGCTATAGCTAATTTTATTTTACTCATTCCAGAAAGAAACAAACCACTTTTGGATTTTATAAATTCACTTCACTTTTTTAAAATGTGTAATTTGTGCAATTACATTAATACTTAAATCTGAAAATACAGACAAAATTAAAATTTAAAGCTCCCCAGTAACTCTTACCCTGAGACTACCAAAATTAAATTTTTCACATGTCATCTTCCAGGTTTATCTCATGTAACCATACACTTGTACATGATATGTGAATCACATAAGATAGCAAATTTCTTAAGTTAGTCTTAATATTTAAATATGTCTACAGTTTATTAAAAATTAAATATGAACACATTCAAAAGTCCACCAAACCAAAGGGAATTTTGTACACTGTGTAACATATATTCAGTTTGCCTTAAGATAAGCATCTGTCATCCGTGCTACTCAAACAACCTTCCATTCCTTGAAACATATCTTCTGATCAGTGCCTTATAAAGTATACAATGATCAATAGGTTATAGCTACTTCCTAGTCACCAGACTTCTCTCTTCCTCCAAAACTAGTATTTCCAAGGGTTTATGGGTGATAGAGATGATGTCACATTAGTATAGGAGTTACTGCAGTCAGATATTTTTAAATTTCTGCCTTCCCCACTTGTGGTCATTCTCTTTGATGCTTCTGCCATCCACAGATGCAGGTCAGCAAAACCATTCTGTGAAAAGCACTGCTTTAATGATAGCTGCCCTGCAATATGGTAGAACAAGAGGTCATCATAAATTAGGTACTAAATATTCCATTGTTAGAGGCAGGAATATTCATTTGACTCTATGCCTGACTTTTCATATGTATTTTAACACTGTAGTAGTCTACTGGGTTTAGTTTAAGCTTCACTTCTAAACTAGTCGAAAACTCAGAACTGATCACAAGAAACTATTAACCTCTTGCCTAAAGACACAAATGAAATATTCCCTATTTTACAAAGTGATTAGATCCCAAGATTTTCCAAAGCTATACTTCTACAATTCACTGGGTTTCAAACTTAAAATCGTAACAGTAATATATACATATTTACATCACAACCCATTACACGTGTTTTCAATTAACTCAATGTAAGTCAAAGGTTTCACAAAATAACTTTACTATTTGCAATACGCTGACATTTTCTATTCTACTCAGATTTTTTACATGCTAATCATGACCCTTTAAATTGTCTACCTGCTGAGTGACAATACCCAGTCTGAAAAACTGCATTAGAAGGTAGTATTTCAACCAATTTGCCATAACTATGTCATAATTTTCTTACTTTCTATATTCATTTACTTATTTTTTAAGTAAAATAATATATAAAACAATATTAAAATATTTAATGAAAGGATAGTATGACAGGTAGAATATTATCAACGGGGTTAAGAAAAGCCAAAATTAGGCCAAAACAGATCCTCAGACCAGCTTTGATAATTGAAAAGATTTATGGCAAAATCAATTGATAACTTGTGTCCCAGGGTATTTACATACCATCCTTTTCAATAGTTTAGAAAGTCTCCATAACTTCAAACTGCAAAGCTGTTAAGCAAATCCTTTCTTTAGCAATAATATAAAAATAATCAACACTCTTGCCTGGGAAGAATTATTTATCAACTCAAAGGTGGGAGAATCCTTGCCCAAACTCCAGGAATTTCAGGTTTCTCTACTCACAGAATAGTTTTAAACTTGAGAGGTACAGATCTGTATTTCCAAACAAACGTACTCAATTGTGATTTAAGAAAAGAAAACACAGAATGTGTGAAAAGGGGATAGGGAAGGTAGAAAAGTAACAAATAGGAATTCTTACAGGAATGGAGAGAATATAGTATGCTAAAATTAAGTCTTGCCTTTTTTTTTTTTTTTTGAGACAGAGTCTTGCTCTGGGTTCACTGCAACCTCCGCCCCACAGGGTAAAAGCGATTCTCCTGCCTCAGCCTCCTAAGTAGCTGGGAATACAGGCATGTAGCACCATGCCCTGCTAATTTCTTCTATTTTTAGTAGAGATGGGGTTTCACCAGGTTGGTTAGGCTGGTCTCAAACTCCTGACTTCAAATGATCCGCCCTCTTGAAGTGCTGGGATTACAGGTATGAGACACCGTGCCCAACCTTTTTTAATAGACTAAATGACCTCATATAAAGAAAATCTAGATGAGCATTTTAAGTCCATTTTGCCTCAAATCCTAATACTTGAGTCAATCATTTCCTGGTGCTTCCCCAGAATCCTTACTGTAAGTGTCCCAGTGATCCTGGCATAGAAAATACTGGATGATAAAGGTTTCTACTCTAGGTCAAAGCCTTTCTTTTAAGACTGAGAAAGAAGCATACTATGTCTTTGTGAAGAAAACTCCTTTAGAATCGCTCGAACCCGGGAGGCATAGTCTGCAGTGAGCTGAGATCACACCACTGCACTCCGGCCTGGGCTACAGAGCCAGACTCCATCTCAAAAAGAGAGAGAGAGAGGGAGAGGGAGAGGGGGAAAGAGAGAGAGAGAGAGAGAGAGAGAGAGAGAGAGAGAGAGACAGACTGAGGATGGGGGGAGATGAGAGTACGAGAGACAGAGAGAGAGAGACAGAGACAGAGAGATGGCGGAGAGGGAGAGAGAGAGGGAAAGGAAGGAAGGAGGGAGGGAGGGAGGGAGAAGGGGGGGAGTGCGCATGCACGAGTGAGAGAGAGCACAAGCAAGCGAGCTCCTTTAACCAGTCTTAAATCATTTCGGCCTTTAAAGGTAATAGAGGCCAAACCAAGATTAACAATAAGACAGTCATCGAAATGTTAAAAAAAAAAAAAAAACAAAACAAAAAAACACCTCTCTCTCATTTCAAAGAGAGAAATTTTGGTTGAGCTTCAAGTCTTTAGCAAATCCAGCCAGGTTCAGGCCTCTTCTACATACATGCAAAGGTCTGATACAAATATTTCTCATTCTAACAATATACAGATATACAGAATCATTATTATTTGGTATATAGTTGACCAGCAACTAACATTTCAATGAGTTTTAGCAACTCTCATTCTGCATATACTCACTTCTCTTCCCTTCTTATTCCTTTCCTCTAAATCCAAATATACCAAGAATATTTTATAAAGGAGAATATCTGAAGTAATGATGGTTATCGGGGCAGGTGTGTGCTCACCACTTAGCAGAATATTTCATCAGCAGCAAAACAGTTATCCAAGTAAACCTTAAACACACACCTCTAGTTCCTAACCTACAACACATTCTCTACGTAAGATTTTAAAGACTTTTTTCCCCACTTCATTCAATTTTATATAAACAAGTTATAACAAACTCATTTTGTCACCACATAGATTTATTTCGAAAAGGAATCTTGAAAAAAAAATTTTTAACCTAGTGGCAAACAATAACTATTTAAAAAGTGATTTTTCCATCTTTTAAAGTACACTGTACATTTTACAATATAAAGAGTCTTTGAAGATCACAGTGGCTTTGGCCAAAATAATCTTGATGTTGTCTTATCAAACTCATGCCTCTTCTGTAATGCTGCATTCACTATACTCTCCTTATGTTCATACTGAGATGACAACCAAAAAATGTATTTTGAAAGTTCAATGATGTCTTTTCTTTTGAATTTCTAAAGGAACACAAAACTCTTTTTCAGCAGGCAGGATATTAACTAGTCATTCCATGCAACTGCAACTGGAGACAGCAGTAGTGTGTGGGTAAAAAATATAGAGGAAAGAAGAAAATATTTTCTTCAGATACTTGAAAAATGTCCTCCTAATATTTTTTAAAGCCAAAGTGGCAAAGCTGTATAAAAAGTAAGTAGGACAGGCGCGGTGGCTCACGCCTGTAATCCCAGCACTTTGGGAGGCCGAGGCGGGCAGATCACAAGGTCAAGAGATCGAGACCATCCTAGCCAACATGGTGAAACCCTATCTCTACTAAAAATAACAAAAAAATTAGCCAGGCGTGGTGGCACATGCCTGTGGTCCCAGCAACTCAGGAGGCCGAGGCGGAAGAATCACTTGAACCTAGGAGGCCGAGGTTGCAGTGAGCCGAGATTGCGCCACTGCACTCCAGCCTGGTGACAGAGCAAGACTCCGTCTCTGAATGAATGAATGAATGAATGAATGAATGAATGAATGAAGTAAATAGACACAGATCTCCAGAGACAAATAATTATAATCACAGAAAGTAAAACTGTAACAAGTCCAAAGAAACACAAATACCATGGCTAAATTCTAGCTTTATGGTTAAGGGCATAAGACAGCTCCTTATAGGTATTTGACATGAACCACCTTATACAAAGGTGTCTGGCCTTCTCCCAAAACCATGCCAGTAAAGCACGATTTACAATGGGGTCTCCATGTGGGGACAGATATATAATCTAATACAGGTTGAGTACACCTTATTCAAAATGCTTGAGAGCAGAAGTGTTTGGGATTTGTTTTTCTCAGATTTTGGAACATTTGCACCTTGGAGCATCTCAGATTTGGGATTTGGGGTTCTCAGCCCATATAAATTTTGTCTCACTGCCACTTTCATCTTTAAAGTTAACCTTTCACCAGTGAGGAAGCATTTCTTTACATCTGTATAATTGTAGATACATAAGGTAACGTGCAGAATACAGTCCTTTTTTTTTTTTTTTTTAAACAGAAGGAGTCTTGCTCTGTCATCCAGGCTGTAGTAAGACTCACCGCAACCTCTGCCTCCTGGGTTCAAACAATTCTCATGCCTCAGGCTCCGAGTAGCTGGGATTATAGGCACACGCCACAATACCCAGCTAATTTTTGTATTTTTCGTAGAGATGGGGTTTCACCATGTTGGCCAGATGGTCTTGACCTCCTGATCCACCCACCTTGGCCTCCCAAAGTGCTGGGACTACAGGCATGAGCCACTGCGCCTGGCCCATATACAGTCCTTTAATATGGCACAAATACCGTTAAAAACTGTATAAAAATCCACCAATATTTCTTTTCTTTTAAAAACCTAAACTATTTGACAAATTCCAAATTTTGAATATATAAAACCTGTCAGCTTCCCCAATTCTCCCCATTCCTTCTCACCTATCCCCTAGTTTAGGCACAAATGTAAAGGTCTAAAGCTTACATTATGATTACTTCCTTGCCCAAATAGTATATGTTATAAAATTAACAACAACAAAAATCTCTTTGATAAAAATCTACCCAGGCTCCTCTGAGCCCTCTTTGGACCAGGCCTCAACCTGGGCCTTTAAAAACCAGGAACTCTCCAAACAAATGATTCGGTCTACCCTGTCCTTTCACATTAAAAGACTTAAACACTAACATTTCTAACAGCTCAAGGTTACCTCCCTAGGATGACCCTAGCCTCCCTTAAAGTGTCTGCCTCTTAAAAGCTCAAGGCTGCCAAAGAATTTACTTTTTGCTCTAGCCAACATCTGAAGATAGGCCCTGACCAACTAAAAAGGGTTTACAACTGTGAATCCTTCCTCTATCCCTCTGAGCCAGACTCCTACAACTCAAGAGTGTCTTTCTCACGGACTTGAAAGCCATTTCTTTAAAAATGTAACCATCAGGAAAAACAGGGTCTCTATTCCCCAGTCACAGTGCCAGCTAACAGACACAGCTGGCCTAATCAGCATATTTTACCAATCTTTTTAAATTTTTCACTTCCTTGACTCTACAGATTCCCTGTTTATCTGCCCTGACGAGTACCCTGCCATTCTCCCTTTAAAACTCCCAGTCATCTCTGCAAATTGAAGTTGACTTCAGTTCATACTGGACTCTCTTCCCTATTGCAAAAGTGTATTACTGATGAAAATCTGTCCTTAGAATTTAAGCTAGTATGCAGCTTTATCTTTGACAAAATGAATAAAGAAGTTAAGCATATCCTAATTAGTAAAGACTTATTTATATAGATCACTAAAGTTATTTTTTTAAGTAAAAAAGAAAGGAAAGAACCATAAAGGTTTAAGGAGTCATAATTCTAGGAGTTAACTAATTACCACTCGGGAGCTAGAAAAGGCCCTTGGCACACATCAAGCCCAAATCTTTGTTTTATAATGATGAATCTAAGGTCCAAAGAGACTATGTGACTTACCCGAGGTGATTTCAATAAGGGATTTGCAGGAGGTTTTTTGGTTTTTATAGAGACAGGGTCTCACCATGTTGCCCAGGCTGGCCTCGAACTCCTGGTCTCAAGCAATCCTCCTGTCTCAGCCTCCCCAAGTGCTGGGATTATAGGCATGAGCCACTACGGCAGCCTCTATGATGGATCTGATAAGGGTCTAACTCAGCGTGATTCTCTTTCTGACTCCAACATGAAAATATTCTTCTGTTATATTCTCATTAATAAAGCAATATTAACCATTAATCATTCAAGTCAAGATAAGCAATGAATATCTACAACCCCGTTAAAAGACACGCATTTTTACAGTTCTACTATACACCAACAACAGTAAACCAAGGAAAGGTTGTTTGGTGCAAGTACACAGGAGATAGAATTTCATTCAAGGAAGACTATTTCAACCATCCTAGGCAAATTATGAAGCACCTTGTTAAGGTGAAATTGCTTTCTCACATAAGCTAAGAAAACAAAACTCCATGCATAAATCCAAAGGAGGGTCCAATTATTTAGTCTTAAAAACAACCAAAAAAAAAAAAAAAAAAAAAAAAAAAAAGAGAAAGAAAGAAAGAAAATGAAAGTAAATTAAAAAATCCTTTTTCTGCACTTACCAGCAAAGCATTTGGAACAGAGATTCATAGTCTTGCTGGACCTGGGGCAAACAAAAAGAAAAGAAAGAAAGAAGAGCTAAAAGTTCTGTATGACTCTAATCAAAACATAAGATGTCCGAAATGTAGACAAAGAACTTTCTGGCCAGGTAACTGAACTAATAAATTAATAACAGGTCCCTATCTAGCCACCACTCCCCCCACAACAAAATAAAAACAAAATGAAAATATAAATACTTGTTTTTTATTTTTATTTTTTACCTGTAAGTTAGCCAATGCTTTCTTTTGTTTATGGTGTATGTTAGCAGCTTATATAGTAACAAGTTCAGAAACATTATAAAATGCCCAGAAGATGGTATGAGAGTAAATCAAACCCACGTGATTACCACATTCCCTCTTTCATACTGGAAAATATACAAAGTTATCATTATAAACAACAAAGTCTTTGTAAATGGGTAAAACTTTCTCCTCATATACACGGTCATTTATCTCTACAACATTAGTTGAACTTTACTCTTTCCTATTTCAGCTCCTACTCATATTATACCCTTCTTGTTTAAAATTCTTTCTTCAGATGCTCCAATCAAATTATTCTTCATGTCCTTTCATCCACTACTAATAGCTACAATTCACTGAATACTAACTTAGATAGGCATTTAACATACATTATCTTATTAATCGTCCCTACATCACTAAGATGGGTATTACCATATTGCTTTGCTTCTAAAATGCACTTTTAAAAAAATCACATTAGCATTTCTGTAACAAGGAAATACCTTACAACTGGATACTAGGGATGAATAATTTAACCTATTTATGTCAGAGGCTGCAATTTTTTGAATTTTTGCAATGAGACTGGGTGATGACCTTGGGTAGGATATAAATAATTCTCATACGTTTAGTGTTCCAATAATGGAACACATGTTACCCCCTCCTCTGCCAAGTTATTATTCAATTTAGAGGGGAGTCTTAGAAATGAAAGACAGACAGTCTCATCCCCATTACAGAGGTGAGCAGCCTGTTCTAGGTCACAAAGCTAATAACTATAGAAAAATATCTGACCTTGAGTCAAAGCTAATTCCAAAGGCCAACCCACCAATCTTTATTCACAACACAACACCTAGAACCACAGCACCCCAGGGCAATCAGTGACTTTTCTGGCCAGGTTCGGATGCTCATGCCTGTAATCCTAACACTATAGGAGGCTGAGGCAGGTGGAATGTCTGGGAGTTCAAGACCAGCCTGGGTAACATGGCAAAACCTCATCTCTACTAAAAATAGAAAAATTTGCTGGAAGTGGTGGCACATGTCTATAATCCCAGCTATTTGGGAGACTGAAGCATGAGAATTGCTTCAACCCAGGAAACAGAGGTTCTGTGAGCTGAGATCACACCACTGTACTCTAGCTTGGGCAACAGAGCCAGACTCTGTCTCCAAATAATAATAATAAATAATAATGACTTTCCTGTTATATTCATCTCACTGCTGTTTCTCTTCCTGGTCCTCTCCCAAGCAGACTCATTCTTATAGCTCCTCCTTCTAAAAACCTCCTAGAATGCTCTATGTTATTAGATAGGCAAGCTGACCTATTTACAAACTCATTCCTCAGCAACTCCATTCCCAATATTTCAGCCTTTGACCAGAACTGTCCCTAAAAATAAAGTAAGCCAAACTTCTTCTGCCCCCCCCCCTTTTTTTTTTTTTTTTTTTTTTTTTTTTTTTCTACCCTTTTTTTTTCCTTCTTCTTTTTTTTTTGAGACAGAGACTTGCTCTGTCACCCAGACTGGAGTGTAGTGGTGCAATCTCAGCTCACTGCAAACTCCTCTTCCCGTGTTCAAGCAATTCTCTGCCTCGGCCTCCCAAGTAGCTGGGATTACAGGCACCTGCCACCATATCTGGCTAATTTTTGTATTTTTAGTAGAGACAGGGTTTCACCATGTTGGCCAGGCTAGTCTTGAACTCCTGACCTCGTGATCCACCCACCTCGGCCTCCCAAAGTGCTAGGATTACAAGTGTGAGCCACCGTGCCCGGCCTTGCCATCTTTAGTAAGTTTTACAATTAAAGAAAGCCTCCCTCAGGAAGTATTCTCTGATGCTGATTGTTTGCCCATATGCTAGAACCTAAGACCTAACAGTAATTGTCACAAGATGGGGGAAAGGGGTTAATATTTCTTTCCCAAAAAAAACGATGCTGTTCAACAAGTAGATATTCCTTTAGAATTCTGCTTAATATAAATACAACAGCAATGAGGAAAATTAAGTATCAATAAGTGAATAAACTGAGTGAGTAAAGAGCTGTGTTAATGGTAGCATCTAACATTTATTACCTGCCTCTAATGTGACAGACATAATACCAAATGCCTTCAATCCCATTTTACCACTGAAGAAACAGAGATCTCAAGAGGGTGCATAATTTACCTAAGATTACAGAACTAGTAAGTGAATTAATCTGGTCTAACTCCAACACCTGTATTCTATTCATTATGCCAAACCTGGGCCTCTGCCCCAATATAGAAGCTGAGGGGCACATACCAGTCCAGAACCAGCACTCTGGTAGTTTGTAAGAATGTCTATGGAAATCAAGTCAGCTCCCTGAGAAAGTAAAGCTTCTCATCTGGAAAAAGCACATCTCCTGCCCTCCCTGACCCTCCAGGCACATAGGAAAACAACCCAAGATTCCCAGTTACTTCAGTTCTAATGCAAGGAAGAACTGAGAATGAAGAAATTCCTACATGCCTTTTTTAACTAACTGCACTTGAAGTAGAGGTACATCCCCATCCTAAAGAGACTCACTAGTATGGATGCAGTATACACAAATCTGTGGTTTACAGAACATTCTCCACTGCCAGATTATCAACCGTGCTGCCAGTCATATAAAAGTCTAGTACATACAATTATGTATTGCACATAATACTTGATTAAAAAATGATAAATATGTGACTGGTTTGTGTATTTACTATACTTTTTATCCTCATTTTAGTGTGTAATTCTTCTACTTACTAAAAAAAGAAGGCATTGTTATCCTATGAGATGATAGCTCCATACCAGTTACTGCCCCTGAAGACCTTTCAGTAGGAAAAGATGTGGAAACAGAAGACAGTGATGCTCCTGACTCTGTGCAGGCCTAGGCTAATTGTATGCATGTCTGTGTGTTGGTGCTTCACAAAAAACCTTTAAAAGCAAAAAATAAAATAAAAACATTTTTTAAATAAAGATGCCAGGCCTGGTGGCATGCACCTTTATTTAAAGTCCCAGCTACTTAGGAGGCTGAGAAGAAAGGATCACTTGAGCCCAGCACTTTGAGTCCAGCCTGGGCAATATAGTGAGACTCTGTCAATGAATCAATCAAGAAAACTTAGAATAAGGATATAATGAAAATATTTTTGTGTAACTATACAATGTGTTTGTGTTTTAAACTAAATGTGATCACAAAAGTGTCAGAAGTTTAATTTTTTTTTTTTTTTTAGAGATGGGGTTTCTCCATGTTGGTCAGGCTGATCTCAAACTCCTAACCTCAGGTGACCCGCCTGCCTTCCAACGTGCTGGGATTACAGATGTAAGCCACCGTGTTCGGCCAAGAAATTCAAAATTTTTTAAAGTTTATAAGGTACAAACATTATAGTAAGCTAAGGCTAGTTTATTATTAAAGAAAATGTTTAAAATAAATTTAGTGTGACATAAGTGTACAGTCTTTCTAACATCTACAGTAGTGTAATGTCCTAGTAGCTTCACATTCACTCACTACACGTTCACTGACTCACCCAGAATGATTTCCAGTCTTGCAAGCTCCATTCATGGTAAGTGCCTGGGACAGGTGTCACTTTTTTATGTTTTATGCCATATTTTTACCATGCCTTTTCTATGTTTAGATACACAAATACAACCGCCTACAGCATTCAGTATAGTAACATGTTCTACAGGTTTGCAGCCTAGGAGCAATAGGCTATGCCATATAGTGTAGGCGTGGAGTAGGCTATACTACCTAGGTTTGTGTAAGGACACTCCATGACGTTCAACATTGTCTGCACAATGAAACTGACTAAGCACATTTCTCAGAATATGTCTCCATTATGAAGCAATGCATGACTATTTTCTTTTGTATATATAAAAATTTCATAAATGCATAATGAAAGTCTACAGATAGCATTTTTTCATTTTACATTTAATATTTCTCATGCCTTATTCTTCAAAACATATTTGTTGCTCTGTAATAATCCATTACACACTAATACTATAATTTAGTCACATTCTTACTAATGTTGAATGTTAAATCATTTTCCCCAATTTTCTTCTATTATAAATATTGCTATAATGAGCATTTTTGGACTTAAATATTTAGTCATAAATCTGTATCTGAATGGCTTTAAGACTGATTCTGAAGAGACTTTACTAGATGAAAAAGTATGATTTTGGTTAAGTATTACAAAATTACCTTCCAAGTAAGTTCTAATATTATTTTCAATACATCTTTAACAACAATGTTTATTTTCTTTATTTACATATGAGACAAAGTCTGGCTCCATCACCTAGGCTGTAGTGCAGTAACATGATCTCAGCTCACTGCAACCTCTGCCTCCTAGGCTCAAGCCATCCTCCCACCTCAGGCTCCCAAGTAGTGGGACTATAGGTGCATGCCACCATATCCAGATAATTTTTTATTGATTGATTTTTTTGTTGTAGAGATGGCATTTTGCCATGTTGCCCAAGCAGGTCTCCGACTAGTGAGCTCAAGTGCTCCGCCTAGCTCAGCCTCCCAAAGTGCTAGGATTACAGGTAGGCGCCACTGCACCTGGTTGACACTATTTGCAGTTTTTAATTTTTACTTGATGGCAGAAATGATTATGTTGTTAAATGTTTCTTTAAAAAAATTTTTTTCAACTTGGAAGGATATCAATTTTTTAATGACAAATAAATTAGCCTTCATGCTAATTCGTCTTGGGGAATTAAAGTAACATTCCTAATTTCTGGGAATTCTAGAAACATTTATAATATTTTACTAACACACAAGACTATTATCTCTCCCCACTGAGAGAAACACTCTGAT